TAGCTTAAATTCTTTAATTGATAACTTGTCAAAATAACCTCTTTCCCAAAAGGTTTTTAAACAAAAGTTCGTACTCCTGTACAGTATGCCACATTACATTTTAAGTTATAGTGTCACCTGAGGTAGACAAACCTGAGCCTGAGCGTACATAAAGTTTGTCTGGTGTGGGCATATTAGAGGTAGGGTTGAGATGCAGAGTCTGGTGAGAAGTTTGCAGTGCTTCACCCTTCCTTTCCCTTTTTAATAGTTTGGCCGGGCCTGGTGGTTCATGCATTTAATCTCAACCCTTCAGAGGCAGAGGCAGGTGGATCATAGTTCCAAGCAAGCTGGTACTAGGGAGACCACGTCAAAAAAAAAAAAAAAAAAAAAAAATGCTTATGTTGTCTCCAAGAAGATTCTATACACTCATTTGGCTTTGTGTTTCACTTGACATTGATCCAAATTTAGTGCCATGTTATTTTATAGTTTTTTACTGGGCGGGGGTGAGGACATGTCACAGCACACATGTGGAAGTCAGAATCAATTTTGAGTAGCTAATTTTCTACCTTTTTTTATTTTAATTTTTGGAAAATTTCATACATGAATATTGTCTGTGCATTATTTCCATTCTTCCCAATCCTTCTTCCACTCCTCCCCCATGTCCCTAATTTCCTCTATTCCTTGTTCACTTCTTTCTAATTCCTATATACACACACATACATTTATGTAAATAATGCATGTATAATGTATACATTATACATAATTCCGTGAGTCCACTTAACGGTGCTCATGTGTAGCTGTGCATAAGGATGCCCAACTGAAATTATGTAACCTTCAGGGAGATAGTCCCTGAACAAAACTAATTCTCCCTCCCTCAGCATTATTGATGGCCTACAGCTCTTCATCTTGAGGTGAGAACCTGTGAAATGTCCCCATCCACCTCAGCATGTCAATTGGTTTTGCCATTATGCAGATCTTACTAGACTAGCATACTGTGGAGATTTCATTGGTATAGCTTCCCTTTCATGTCTAGAATGAATTAATCAGAAGCTGATCTCTTGTCCCTCAGGCTCTCACATTCTTTTCGCCCCTCTTCGGAGATGTTGCCCAAGCCTTAGGTGTAGAGGCTGTATCTCCTTTCACCTGCAAGTGGGCTCTGAGGATCAAATTCTGGTCAACAGGCCTTTATCCCCTGAACCAACCCTAGAATCAAGTTCATGTAATTCCTCTTTACTTAGTAACCATTAGAAAGTGCAACTTCTAAGAAAGTGCCCATGAAATAATATGCAGTTTGGACTGCAAAGGAACAATGGTATTGACTGAAGCCACTCAGATCAGCTCCATTTTATTATAGGCCCAGTGCTCTAAGGATCAATTGGCATTTTTCATTTTTTTATGCCTTTACTAAAAAGATTATTTTGTATACCAATAAGCCACCCCTACACAAGGAACCTGTTCTGTTTAGATTATTAAACCGTTCTCTTTAATGTTTGCTTGTTGATTTTAATTTCTTCCCCATGTTACCCTATTATATGTTCAAAGCATCTGCCTTCCCTTTCGCAAGTGTTAGTTTGAGTATTTCTGATATTCAAGCACGACAAAGAAAAAACAAATTTAAGTTACCTTATCTCAAAGTTATCTTCCTACCTGCCAAATCCCTAACATTATAATAGGCTCCTTCTCACTCCATTTAAAATTCATCCATTGGAATTCATGGTCTGGCTGTGTTGTTTGCTCTGCCTTTGATAGTTAGCCTGAATCTGCTCTTCTCTTTCACTCCTGAAGGTATTGGTGACCTCCTGGGGACATTATCTCCATAAGAATGAGAAAAAATGACACTGTAGGATGGAACAGTAGTGTTAATGGGTCACAGAATGACAGCTTAGCCTTCTCTCAGAGGCATCATCCAGGCTTGTGCTGCCAGATACACAAGAGCTATACAGTGAAAGTATGCCAATTTAATCTTGTCACATGTAGCCTGGGCTGCAAAGATAGAGCTTCTCTTAAAAGCCCACTGTGACAAGGCTGAACCTGACTCAAGCCAGAAGAGAACATGCAAAGATGTTAACTGGAAAATGACTGGAGTACAGGTTCCCACAGAAGATGGAATCCCTTTTGGAACAGGATCTGGTTAAGATAATAAATCATAAAATGTGAAATTTTCCAAGACATCTTAGATGTAAATTACACTATCTATCCCAAATTCACCTTAAAGATAGAGAGCTAGAATCTCTGTGCAGAATACAATGTGCAAGATTCTTGATCGAATTTAATGGTCCTGATGACAAGTTTTCAAAATTTTGTTATCTTCCCAAAGTCATTTACATTTTTAAAGAAAACCAAAATTTCCTGACATCACTGTAAAATTTTAAAACTTCCCAAGGAAATCATGAGATCTTGACCTTTGACCCACTCTTCTTCTGTGTTCCCTCCTAGACTGGATGCAATCAGTGCATAGATGCAGGGTCAGAGAAGGCTTTCTTTTCTTCACATGGTTCTTTATTTTTTATTTTTCATCAATACCATGTTTGTTGTGAAATGTCTGCATGTTCATGATAGAAATATTTTGTATTTAAAATCACTATAAATTCTAATATTTTAATTAACATTAAATCTCACTTTTAGTCTATTTGAAATTAAAGGAAAGATAATGAATATTTTTATAAGGCCAATAGCAGACTTTTCTATTTAATTAACGAACCAATAAAAGAGGAGACAGTGATTAGAGCAGCAGTTGTTCATTGCATTGTGAGGGCTTTTCACATTTCATGTCCAATGGTTGATCCCACAAAGGCATCTGAATTTATCTTGAAAGTGTCATTCTTTTTGTCTCCATAGCAAAGAGTACACTTTAAAGCAATAGACAGGCATATGTGAAAAAGAACAGTTAAGATATTTACATTTTTCCTGTAATAATTGCACTTTTCACCAAATGTTAATTGAAGAAGCTGCCAAGAGTGAATATGTTCTAGATAAATAATCTCAGCTCCCATCCTTACAATTAGTGGCAATATGTATCTTCGGAGCTCTAAGTTTGACAATCAGGAATAATAAGTAAGAACTTGGTGCAAAAATTAGATGTTATATATAACTCAAAAATAATTTCTCCCATTTGGCTTATTTCCCTCACTTGGAAAAAAGGGAAAATATCAGAACCGTATATTTTACAAAATAATGACAATTAAGCAAGGAGCCTCCTCAATGTTACAAAAGTAAACCTTTTTACACTGAGAGCTCTGGGCATTATTTTTTTCTTCTCTTTACCTCTACTATGCTTCTGAAATGTCATTAGTTTTAAAAAATCAGGAGAAGCCAGGTGTGGTGGCACACGCCTTTAATCCCAGCACTTGGGAGGCAGAGTCAGGCGCATCTCTGTGAGTTCAAGGCCAGCCTGGTCTACATAGTGAGTTCCAGGACAGGTGGAGCTACAGGGAGACAAAATGAGCAAAAAAAAATCAGGAGAAACTAACATGAATAGAAAACTTGTTAGGAAAAGGGAGGGAGGATTCCTCATTCCACCAGATGATGATGATGGTAGGAAAGAAAACATAGTGGAGACTAAGTTTTGAAGCAACTGGTGAAGCCTCCATCATCCTTCTTCTATGACCAAAGTGTTGTGTTTCACCTTTGCTCATTGCTATTCAGTCTCCTGTTTCTAGAGTTTGGAAGCTGTAGCTGATTGTGGCAAAGTGAGATAAGAAAGACAATTTCATGTAGATAATCTGATACCATAATTCATTTTGGTTCAGTGTTTCCATCAGTAAAGGATCCACGTGGGCATCAGGAATTTTGAACTAGTTTCTGCTTTGCATTTGGAGTTATTTTGTAAAGCCACAATCTTCATTAAAAATAAATATAATCAATAAAGTAAATGTTGTTGACAAATAAAGGTAACTTTAACAAAGACTGGGTTAGAGGTAAATCTACTCATATTTGCTCCAAAAGTTTTACACTTATTATAAAGAGTTTTGTTCCACGGATTTTAATTCTCACATATTTAAAATGCCATGTCTCAATTTTTATTCTGTAAAGAAATATTTATTCCTAGGAATTTTGCTTTTAACAGCAATAAAGTATATATTAAATGGGAGATTAAAACATGAACTCTGTCTTGTCTGTAGTAAAATGGGCTTCTTTCCTCTGCAGTCTGTGCTTGATAATATATTAATTTCATCTGATTTGTATTGATATATTTTGTTATAAATGTGCTCCAACAAGATTTCCACTTAATAGCTTCAGGGAGAAAACGACTTGTTTCTGATGTCACCATGCCTACTCAATAACATCCTCAGTATATTTACATTCTTAGGATTTGCTTCTTTGAAGAAGACCTAAGAGTCACCTAAAAGAAGCAGGTTTAAATAGAATGGCAAAATTCCAAAGCACTGCTGCCCCCTAGAAGACCGTTGAGCAACACGCATGACCAGTGCAGTCAGAAGAGAAGAAACCGAGGAAGAAAGCAATCTGTGCATTTCACTTTAGCTGTCAAATGTTGCCAAACACATTTCTGAGTTTTGTGTTGTTGTTGTTGTCCTATCTTATGTCTAGGCTGAGCTCAGTGTTACCTATTATATTCTAAACTGAGATGCAGATAGAATTCATCATAACTGACTGACAGGGGACTCTCCAGAGTATGTACAGGCATACTGGTATTTTTTTATTGCCAATGCTTTTAAATAATTAATATAAATGTTTAGGTTTTCGTGTGCATTAATTTGAGACTTAAGACCCTGCCCTGGAGCTTGTGTCTTTTTGCTAGAGAAACATATAACAACTGCTTATTTGATTCTCAGAGTCCAATAAGGCACAATTTCTCGTTCCTGAGCTCCGTGTGAAGAAACTAGGGCCTGGGGAGATTAGATGAGAAGAAGAAATTACAAACTTACTAGAAAAAAATCAAAATGTTTATTACTATCACAAGTACCTGAAATCCTTTCTTCTGTGTGTCCTCTTTCTATAGCAAGGAACAGAGGTAAAATGGAGACAAGCAATAACTTCTCTTTAACCTGGTTCACAGGGAGGGACTGTGCTGTGAGCAATCCCAGCATCTCTGGAATGGCCTAGAGAAAAGAACACATTAACATTGTATGGCAGAGAAAGCAACAGGTGGGAGGGCTGTTTCAGAAACAATAAAACCAAAGCCGTGCATTGTAGGCAATGGTTACAGTAACAGTTTGTCTTTATTAGCATTCATGATGAACAAATTAAAAATAGAGTACTCTCAAATGGCAACAGAAAACAGAACACTCTAATTTTGTAAAGGTGTGCTGTCTCCTTTAATTTGGTTATATAGCAGAGTTGAAAAGGCATGCTGGGAAACATGAAAATCAGAATCTCATAATTATGCAGTCCATTATGAATATGAATGCAGTTTCTCCAAGCAACCTAAGACAATGCAGTAGACGTTTTATGGAGCTTTTCTTGAATGATAATCTTTCTGTTCCCACGGACCCAATGTATATCTAGATTCTAAGTTATTTCCATAGTACCCAACACTGTAAATCTAAAAGGCCACCAAGGGAGAACCTCACAGACAATTTTAAAATAGAGGTCCAGTAGATACCACACACGCTGGCAAGCAAGATAATGTGTTGGAAGGATTTTCAAGCTCAAGCATGTATTAGTCACTTTTCTAGGCCCCTCCTTAACCACTTTAATCTCCTTATCAAAGGGACCCTCTGGAGCACAGGCCAAGGCACCAACATTTATCTTCCTAGAGCTCTTTTTCAATCTAAACTGTATTTCTTTCTGTCCCACTTGTTCTTTTTCACTGTAGATCTGCATAACATTCACCATTAATAGCCACACCACCATTTCTACATTAGGCTGTCTTGAAATTTCTTCCACCAAAGAAATTAGTCCATTGCTTTTCAACTTAGCCTCAGGCAAGCATTTTGGTTGAGGGCAGGCTCCAGCCAGATTCTTTGCCAAAATAGACCAAGTGCTGCTTAAGTCCTTATTTTCCTCTGGAACTACATTGTTCTAAGCACTACTTCCTTCCAGGCACCTGCTAGAATGGCCTATTAAGCTCTGCTTAGAGCAATCAACCACATTTCTAGCCCAACCTTCCAAAGTCTTCCACATTTCTTCAAAACCCAGAGCATGGTCAGGTTTTTCACAGCCAACAGCCCACTCTCTGATACCAAGCACTGTACTAGTCACTTTTCTGTTGCTGTAATAGAAACACTGACCAAAATAACTTATAGAAGGAAGAGTTTATTTGAGCTTACGGGTCCAGAGGAATTATAGTCCGTCATAGCGGGGAGGCATGATGGCTGGAGGTGCCTGGAGCAGAGGTGGAAGCTAGGCTCTACATTTTTCATCACACAGGAAACAAGAGAGCAACTGGAGATCTGGCAAGGCTTAAGCATGGTCAGGTTTTTCACAGCCAACAGCCCACTCTCTGATACCAATCACTGTACTAGTCACTTTTCTGTTGCTGTAATAGAAACACTGACCAAAACAACTTATAGAAGGAAGAGTTTATTTGAGGTTACGGGTCCAGGGGAATTACAGTCCGTCATAGCAGGGAGGCATGATGGCTGGAGGTGGCTGGAGCAGAGGTGGAAGCTAGGCTCTACACTTTTCATCACACAGGAAACAAGAGAGCAACTGGAGATCTGGCAAGGCTTAAGTACTCTCTAAGCCCACCACCAGGGATGCGCTTCCTCCAGGATAGTCACACTTTCTAAAACCTCCCATAACTGTGCCACCATGTGGGAACAAAATTCCTTATACTTGGAGCCTATGGGGGACATTTTCATTCAAACCACCACAGACACTGATTAGGAGCCACTTCAGGCAACAGGATCATTGGGGAATGTCAAGAAGCATGACAAGCTCCTTTTGATGCAATCAACTGGGCAGGCAGCTTTAATGCTTTGGTCCCTGAGTAGTACATGTTGCGCTTTTCTAGAAGCCCATAAAGTGTTTCTACTCGCATCTAGGACCCTCCTTACCTCATTCTGCACAGAAAAGTCCCATCTATAAGAGCACATGAAATGTTTCCAATGGATTTTCCTTATTTTACAGAGTTTCCCTATTACATGGCATATATTGAACTTCCACTGATGGGAAGAGAAATAAAACCATTAAAGTTAGTAGAGCAGTAAACAGTGGACATGTCTTCAGTGCCTTCTCTACCTTCTGGAGAGAAAATCTTCTGATCCTGTGCTTCCTGCCTGCACATACATAACTCATCCTTCCCTACTCACAGCTGCCTGTCTCTTGATGAAATTTTATTTTTGTCAGAACTTCCTGCTCATCCCAACGGAGGAAGAGCCTTCTTATCTGGAAATCTAACCCCCAGCCTTTGCAACAGAGCCTTCTATTCCATCATAATGAGATACTGTTCTCACTGGGACATTCTGCACTCCCACATCTCTACCAGAGAAGCAGCAATTTTG